GTGCCGGGATGCACCGGGAGGTGAAGAAATACCGGGCAAATGAAAGACGAGGAAAAGGGGAAATAAAGTGTTCTGTCCTGCCACGTGTGCCATGTAAGATGAAAGTCCTGGAAAGTTTACGTTTCAAAAAATCGGCAGAGAAACTGTGGAACTTATAAAAAAAAAAAAAGGCAAAGCAATGAAGTCATACTCTGCAGAGTTGTAGAGACGTTTTAAGGCATCATCTTGCTGGTTTATACCGGTGCTGGCTCAGTCTGCTGCAGTGTAGTGCCACAGAGCATAGCATGTTTTTTCAAGAGCTCCTAGATAAAATAATAATAAGAAATTTAACAGCGTAATTTAATTATGGCTACATGTAGCCAGACCTACTCAGCTAACTCATAACTGGCCCAAACTTTGTGGTCGGCCTCCTAAAGCTGCTGTAATGGTGATTATAGATTTAGTGAAGCAATTGAGTAGGCTTAAAACATTTTCATTCATCATTCATGCAAGAATTTGAAATAGAAAGTTATTTACAAATAAAAAGATTGTTGTTGCCTCTGTTGTTGCAGTTTTCTAGGAATAAAACTAGCTTCATATTAGGAAAATAACATTAATGGTGACAAAAGTATATGGCTAATTTTAGAACACACAGTAACCTAGCATGATTACATCTAATCAGCAGTCCTTGTACATATAATAAGGGTAAGTAAAGCAATTAGTAAGATAGAAATTTTTATAAAGTACAATCTGAAAAACATTTAGCACTTAAAGGAAAGTCTGCATGATTGGGAAGTACATCAGGATTGCAAATGCTGCACCTTAGTATGACCCAGAGGTACTACCTGAACTGGGGAGGACTCCAACTCTACAAATGTGTTCATCATTACAACTTTCCTACTTCAAGCATCACAGGGGCTATTTGAAATTATTCTTTACAAAACGAGGGATGTCTTGTGTCTTCATTCCTGCCTCTTGGAACATTCCTTGTGTACAATTAATATCTGGCACAAGATCTGAGTTTAACACAAAATACATATTTGCATACTTCTTTATTGATGGGTTTGTATATATCTGACACAAGCAGATACAATCCTGAAGAGCAGAAAAAGCCATCCTATATAGGAGCTTCCAGAAATTAAAAATGCCAATAACTAGTTAAATACCTGAGAATAATATAGAAATACTTTACCAAAGAGGTACCAGGACTAGAAATAACATGACAATATTAATTGTTGCTCAATAGTGCTCAATGGAAGATCTGTAAGGGTGATGTACTAGCCTTCACCACTGACTGCCAGTATTAAGATTAATAGCTATACTAGAATAACTCATTATGCAGTAAAAATATACTTCTCTTGCAGTCACCCAGCACCCAGAATATAGTTGCAATAATCAAACGATTTTGTGGTAACTAGAGCAGTAGCTCCTTCTTCTGTAGCTGGTAATGGAAATGAAGTTTCACAGACAGTCTGAGGTTTTCCCAAGCCACAGTCACTGCAAGTGCACTCTTCCACTGAATACATCAATGTTTCACTTTGAAGTGAATGTCTAATTCCTTCTGTATTCACACTGCTTTCAGCATTAGCCTTGAGAATATTATTTGGCACCACAGAAGAGTCTGTAAATATAGAGAAGTTAATTTAGTACATACTTAATGCTATACCATATCAGTTATTAAAGGTCCAAATTTCATTATGTTCAAACTATGCTCATAACCCTAGTGAAAGTTTTCAGACATAGTGAAAGTTTGAAGATGTAGTTATATATGATAATTTTTTTGCTCTATGACAATATACCCCTCTATACTTCAGGATAAACATTTTAGTAATCTAACACTTTCTAATCAGTCCTTATTTATTGGATGAATACTTCACAAATACACTATATTAGTATTTGTAAAATGTTAAAAAAACCCTTTTTTTTCACCTTCCCAAAATGTACCACATACGCTTCTCAGAGGCTAGAACATTAAGTAAAATTATCTGATGTCTTATAAGATGGAAAACTACTATTGAATGTGTATCCTCTACCTGGGTAGAATTCCTTTTGCATTCAATGAGAAGAGGATGAAACCCTTATGAAGTTCTGCTGTTGAGGGTTCACAAATGATTTCTCAAACACCAGCAAGTAAGTCAGATATGAATACACAACAAAACAATCCTTATGTGATCCGGAACCAGCAAAGAGAGATTGCTGCTTTTACAATTTATCTTCTGGATATTCTACTCCCTAATAACTTTAATAACTTCATTGAGGCTCTTTGAGGAATACAAAACGATACAACAAAGACAGTTATCAGAATCTGGAATATAAATTATATGCAAAATTTATACATAAGAGTAGCTAAAAAGTAAAATAAAAAAAAAATCTAAAAGTATTTTATAAATAAGTCTATTTATTCACCTGTGTTTTTCAGTTTTTCTTTTAGTTGCTTTAGGTGCTTCCATTTAAATAAGACCATTAAGATGAACAGAGTGAGCATTAAAATTACTCCTAAGCCCAAACAAATCCAAAGAACTCCACCGGAATCAGCACCTTATGGAATAAAAGAGATGTATTAAATGAATTGTAAACGAGAACTAATGAACAGTAAACATGTTCGACACATACAACTTCTTCTATATCAAAGGAGCAATTTCTATTTCTGTTGAGTGACACCTCAAGTAAAGCTTGAGAGCTCTTCATAACACACATAGTCACACAGGACACATTACATATGTCATTAATATTTTTGAGCCCATATATTATTCTGATAAATCCTTCCCAGGTCTTAGATTTCTTCAAGATTCTATGTAAAATACCACGTGAAAAGGCCCTGCATAGCCATGAAGTATTGCAGAGATACTACTTACGCTTCTCACAGTAGTTTTCACATGAAGGCGGTGGTGTGCTAGAACATCGAAGATGACAAGGTGTACAAGAGAGCAGCAAATTATCAAAGTATTCGTTTTTGGGGCACTGTGCCATCAGGGTCAGTAATGATGGAACTGGAAAGCCACAGAAGTTGTACAGGAGTGAGGACTATCTACAAAGGGCTTTTCAGTTCTCAGTTTTAGCAAATCTAAGAACAGCTAGCAATAATACGTAGACTTCACTCACAGCTCCACCACACAGTATCATGTTAAATGAGGATTTAACTCCGACACCCCTAAGGAATTACTGTTCCTTTTTCGGCAGTTTGCAATGGTAGAAAAACTGAACAGCTGCACCAAGATAATTTTCGATGTAAATTTTGTCTGAAACAGAAAATGGTTATTTATAGAAGACATTTCTTGAACAGGTGCTAAACATTACATACTGCAGAAAAGCAATAAAATCTCCAAACAGTTCATAATAATTGTTCTTGTCTTCAGAATTTTGTGGGTTTCTTCATGTTGATGTGCCACAGTCATTAAGCTTTCCTGTAATATGCACACTACGCAACACTTACTTTTTGTTCTCTTGTCCCAGTTCCTGGAGCATAAAATGAAGAAAATAGAGGCAGTAAGCAGCAGTAAGAAGATAAAACCAGTTCACTTTCTAGGTGTGCCACCGATTCATTCTGCAGCTTCCTTCAGACCTGTGTCCCTGGACAGACAATAATTTACAATGCATAGATGATGAAAGAACTCCTTTTTGTAACCAAATGGATTTCTGATTTTAAATGACATAATGTTAAAGTACAAGTTAAACAATTACTTCAGAATTGTGTTGTACAAGATACATCTAAGATATTCAGTTGTATTGGAAATACAAAATCTAGAGATTCAGTCACAGGACTATTGCTCCTCAGTTCCAAATTAGCCACATTTATCTAGTCTATGAGGCTTTGGTCAGATTTTTTGCTTGGCTTATTTTTGGGGTTTTAGCTGTTTTTTGCTTAAAACTGTAGTTATATGAGGAATTCAATAAATTACATTCTAATTACAAAAGACGACCTCTAAGAATGTTTTACAATTTTGATTCAAAACATTAGGTGCAATTTTTCCCTTATTTTTCCATAATGTAGAACTGTCACTGTACTAAACCCGTGGTACCCAGCATGGAAGAACAGGTGGGACACAGATTCCACCCTTGTGGTGCAGCGCATGCGACACCTCCTCCCAGCCAGGAGATGGGCACACGGCGCGTGCAGATTCCTCTGTGCACATGCAGCAAGTGTCACATTTCTCAAAGTGCATTTGATCTTCTCCTGGGGGAATAAAAGCTTTGATAACAGACTGCCACTATGAATATAATTTACACAGTTTATTTTTATCTTGACTTTTTCAACTAATAGGATGTATTCTAAAAACAAAGTTAACCAGTAATATCTAGCAAGTTGCAATAACTGCCTCTATCCAGTGTCACTGCCTAAGATACATCAGAATTACAGGCATAGTTATAGTTAAATTTCTCCTTGACATAATTAATTGTCTTTTTTGTTAAGTACAGAAAAAGAAAACTATTGTATAAGGAATTGTAATTTCCTACCACATTACTATGTATGAGACTTACTTTCCCCACAAAACCCACCATATGAGGTACACAAACTGTGTTTAGTGGAACCCTGTAACAAAGTAATCTGTATTCTAGTCTGCAGCAGATGGAACTCCTTGCTGTGGCTTCTGCACTTGTTTCTATAGGCCAGGTGCACAACTGCAGGCATTCTCTTATGGGCTTTTCTCCCTGTTCAAGATTAGTGGATAAACAGGAATTGACAAAATTTCTGACTTGCTTCCTACATTCACTCTAAGGGAAAAAAAAGCAGGTTATCACTAGGATATCATTCCTGTTTCTGATGAAGCACCATTTGGTAGCTTATGCATAGAGTAATTTGAGATTTTGATTTTAAGTTGCTGTTTAACCTTTTCAGTCATGGAGAGGACAGTCACATTCTCAACTGTGATCTGAAGAAAGAGTTATTTGTGAAAGTACATTCATGCTATCCGCAGGTACAAGAAGTGAATTTCAGAACAGAAAAGCTGGGTCCAATGCTTTAATCTTTTAACAGTGTAACCCCACTGACTTAAGTGAAATGCTTTCTAATTTTATTTACATAGAATTTTTTCCTGTGCCAGGACTTCCCATTTTTCTTGCATTTTTATATTCATATCTATAACGTGCTAAGTTACAGATAACCCTATTATTTTAGAAAGGAACCAGCTGACTACTTCTATAATTGTTTTCTGCAGCTCCTTCCAACCCTACACATCTGCAGAATAGGTACAGTCTTTACTGTAATAAAATTCCTTACAAAAATCGACAGCTCTCAAATTCCAAAACTTTCAAACTATACCACAGCTGCTGAATGCTTCTAACAATTTCATTAGTCTAGGGAGATCATGTGTTCACTATAACGAATGAACCAGTTCCTTAATTTCACACTTTTTTTTCCATTTGTACGAGGGGTATGGGAGAGGACTGTCTTTGTTTCAGCTGCTTTTATTACAGCTTTCTTGCTTTGTTTTTTATGTATGATAATGACAGTGGGTTTTTTAAATTTTGACTGTTTACTGAATTGTGTAGGTATATTTATTTTGAACACTAACTTTTCTCAAAAAACTAGTTTTGTTAAATAGGTATGTTTATAGCATTTTGGTATTAATTCACAGCTTCACAAAGAATAGAAAGAACTTCAGATTGACAGTAATGAGTATTTTTTGCTGGGAAACAGCAAAATGCAGTTGTTAGATAGCACATAGAAAAGCCAAGTAGCCAACAGATGATAGTAAGCTTAAACAATAATAACTGATAAACTCCTGAAATATCAGCGTTGCTCCCATGAAGAAAGAAACCTTGAAATGCTTGCTAGCAATAGGTTCTGTTAAAAGGAACACCTTTATGTGCTACTTCAGTCCATCTTCAATTTTTTATTTAATGGAAAAAGGATTCTATTGAGCTGTATGTGTGACTTCTCCCATATGCATCCACATTCTGTATCAGTGACCAAAGAGCTTTCTTTGGAAAATGTTCAGAAGAAATTGCATAGTCCAGATAATAATATTAAAAACAAAAAAACAAACAAACAAATGAAAGAGAGATTCTCAAAGCATCCTGTAAACTCAGTGTGTTCTGTGGAACATTTTTAAGATGATCTATAAATGCTACACATGTAGCTTCACCTTGAGGCAGAGATGCTTCCTGGTAGATGTAACCCAAACATAGGACTTCGGGAAAAATACTGAAGAGAAGAGTGCAAGGTTTACATGACTTTGTGAGACAATTAACAATGAGAGGAACTACAGTACACCACTCCTACCATGGGTAGTGTTATTAGAGTCTTCACAACTACTTCACTTTTTGCTATTACATTCTTTCCTGTTTTCCTAGCCCAGAAGCAGCACGTCTGGTTTTACTTTTTGGCGATGGTCTTTCTTATGTACACAGAATACCTCTCTCCAGACCAGCATTCTCTCATCCTGCCGTAACACAACTGCTGTGTGATATGCAAAAGTGTTAATACTGCAATTCCTAAAATATTTTGTCACTGAAAGGAAATGAGATGTATTCTAAATCAGACTATTTTGGCACAAAGATGGTTCATGTCTACTTAGTAAGACTGGTCTGTAGGTCAACAAAGATGTGATTAGACTATGTACAGCTATGCTGATTAAATGTTGTGGTGTCAATGAAAAGTGTAGTCCTGCTCTTCAGTCTACACTATTCTGAAGCACGAGGAAGGGCTCTAGGGCTTACCTGGCCACATGGCAAGCAGCTTTAATTTGTTAATCCAGTCAGTTCTTAGAGATTTACTCCCTAGGGCCTGGAAAAAAGGTCAGAAGCAGAATAGAAAAAAAGTTCAACTGCTGATTACCTAGTAGGGGTGTGAAACTAAGTCCACCATGGAACTACAAATTTGGTGAACTAATGTACCAATGTCTTAATTTAAAAACTCCTTTCAAACTCTAAGTACAGTAGAAATTAATTTGTGTCTAATTATTTGATACTGCATATGTGGGATCATAAGCTATTGTGGCAGATACACTTACAGTCTTTACAACCAGTTGGCCAGAAACAGTTTTCCTATGTGGCTAGTTAGACTTCAAACACATTTATTGTAAGACACAGAAGTAAACACAAAGAAGTGATCTGCTCAATCAAACTCTAGGAAATGTCCCTTTGAGTAAAAGGTTAAATACAGCCCATTTGTCAGAGCCCTGGAGAATACTGCTGCCTCTTAGAGTGATAATTTCCTCCTACAGTTGGACTACTATTTCCCAAAGCTTACAGCCTTTAGAGAGAAATTAATTTTTTTTATAGATATGCCCAGAAAGAATTTTTTTTTTTTTATGGATGTGCCCCAAACCACAAATCCTTTATTATTGAGCAATACATTTTTCACACGTAGGAAACTGGGGAGCAATGATCGTAAAGGAACTCCAATAGATCATTCATATAAACAGCCACCATACAAGTCAGTCTTTTCTCCTTAGCTATATATTGTTTTATTGAGGTATGTAAAACAGAGGCAACAAATGGTAGAAAAGCTATGAGGAATTAGTTGTTGTGGACTGTTGCCTTTGCTCTTTGCACATCCTAACACTCCAAAGTCCTACTTCTCAAGGGTCTGAAAGCAAGCACATAATCAGAAGATCCTGATAAGCAATAATTCCCAGTGACAGACCTTGCTACATAGCTAAAACACACATTATTTCAAAATCTATGTTCTGTGCTTCACCTGCTGTTTTCACTGACTACATGAGATTCCCCAGAAATTCTGAAGACAAATTTCTATGGAAATTACCTTTAAATTAATTTGAAATTACATTTCTTGTCTGTCCAGGCCTCTAAAAATCATACTACAAATATTTATTCTCAAAGCAGAAATTAATCCAACACAACTCTTTCTTAATTCAGTAAAACACTCAAAACCAATCATAGAATCACTATGGTTGGAAAGGACCTCTAGGATCAAGGCCAGCCTTTGCCCCAACATTTTGCTAACCACTAGACCATAGCCTCAAGTGCTACAGCTACTTGGTTTTTTAGCACCTCCAGGGATGATG